AACCACTTCGGCTCCACCGTTCTTTGAGCCGCAGTTCAGCTGACCTCACACCTGGCACATGTCACGGTCCCAGTCAGAAACTCGTCATCAAAAACGCGCGCCCCATTGGCGAAACCGGGACGAAAGAGGTGGGGTTGGGCTGACCCCTTCTGACATATATATATTGCATTCAGCTAGCAGCACCATATTTTCTGGCAGACGATAAGACGAACCATGAAGGCCGCCGCGCTAATCGCAGGGGCAATTGCCTTGCTCCTGCTCTGTTCATCTTGTGAAGCTAAGGTCATTCTTGTCTCCCTGGATGGATTTCGATGGGACTACATAGATATTGCCAAGAAGAACGGCACGAATGTCAGTGCATTCGAGGAGATCGCCCAGATGGGTTTCAGAGCCGAGGTCCAGAACGTTTTCATCACCATTACTTTCCCCACGCACTATGCCATCGCTACGGGGCGGTACGTGGAGAACCATGGGCTCTACAATAACCAGTTTAGAGACCCCATATTCAAGCAGTCCTTCTCCTACAAAAATGCAACGCAACAAATGGATCCAAAATGGCTTGAGTACAACAACAATGAGCCTATCTGGCTGACCAATCAGAGACACGGGAATCGCAGTTGTGTGTTCTACTGGCCGGGAAGCAATCAACCCTATAAGGGGAAGTACCCCTTCGCAACTAGCGGCCTCTACAGTGATGACCCAACATTTAAGTACCGCGTAGATCGCCTGATGGACTGGATCACAAACGACGAGTTCACCTTCTGTGCCTTTTACTTCAACGAACCGGATCATTCTGGGCATGCCCATGGACCTAATTCACAGGAGGTTATGAATGCAATTGCAGAGGTCAATGACGGCATCGCCTACCTACTGCAAAGAATTAAGTCGCATCCCGCACTTAACGGCAAGGTAAATCTCATTGTCACAGCCGATCATGGAATGACGCAAATACCAGTGGAAAACAGAGTCCATCTTTACAAAGCTGTTAATTCAAGCAGTTACTACGGCAACATCTCACCTCCCGTTGTTGGCATTTGGCCGAAAAAAGGCAAGTACATTTTTTTTATAGTCTTTGGGCTTATCAATTTCATGCAGCCTATGTTCCTATCTAGGAAGCATGGTATAGAATATATCGTCAAACTTCTGACTTACAACTTGGTGCTATAAAGATCTCCGGAAATTTTAGAATCCGAAACTGATGCCATCTACAAAAAGCTAATGGATGCAAAATTGCCGAACCTAACGGTCTATCAGAAGGAGTCAATTCCAGAAAAATATCACTACGGAAGAAGTTATCGGATGCCACCTATCTTGGCCCTCGCAGATCCCGGATATCTAATCATGATCAAGGACGATTACTTCACAAAAAACCGTAAGTGTAATTTTCAACGAGTCGATGACAGGTTACCTGAAAGTCCCAAGCTCACTGTCTGTAAATGTGTAAATAATTAGGATAGGTGATAGATAATACTTTCTATAAAACCTATTTACCCCATTTTAACGAATGAGATCGTCTGTCCGCATGATTGAAGAGCAGTTTTGTAATAAGTTTATCTGGTTTTTGTGTGCTACAACGATTTATCTTGTCTGATTTCTAGCATATATTATCACAATTCACTTTATAATATACAAATACGATGAGTTAGTCAGATGTTCCAGTGAAACCTGACACCAGGATTTCTTGCATTTCCACATTTTCAGGTATCGATTTTGCTTGATAAAACCATTTTACTTTATTGATTGGTCCACCATTCCTTATAAACAATACACAGGATTGTTCAATACAGGACTAGTGATAATAGGAGTTATATAGGTGGGGCAGATGACGCAGAAGGAAAAGGAATAAAAAAGTAAATAATAAACGGATAAAATTAAACTAAACTATATTAACTAAATAAATTAATAAAACGAAATAATAAAACTAAAACAAATAAAATAGATTGAGTAAACTAAAAAACTAACTGAAATAAATTTCAGAATAATATCCGGCCAGCGTACGTAGCCTGCGATAAATTCTCCACGGCCGAGTACTATCAACCAGCCGATTACTAGCAACCCATCCCCCTCCTCTTGGCCCAGGACTAATTTGCCTGTAACGATGACCATAACTGCCAGCAAGTTACTTTTAATCCCCTCCCGATATAAACGTAATGGCTTGAGGAGAATTTATCAGACGGTAACTCTGCTCACCAGACATTTTTCTGAATTCTCTGATGGGAATTTTTGCAACTTTGAAATAAATTTATTAAATCTACAAAATAAACCAAAAACTAAACCTAAACTAACCTAATTACACTAAGTTAGGCTTAAGTTAAACAAAACTAACAAAATAAAAACAAAACTAAGATTAAATTATTAAAACTAAATATTAAAATAATAAAGGAATCAATAAGGTACAATGAATAATACGCTATAACGAAACTAAATGGCTAATTACGTATAGTAAAACTAAGGTCTTGTTTATATGGAATCCTTGCTGGTGATCTTATGCGAAGTACAACTTGCTCATAAGTTCAAAAGACTGAAACGGAACATGTTAAATTAAGTAAATGTTACGTAAGTCATGCGGTTTGAAATAAAGCTTTCTCTAATGAATAATCAGCGTAATACTTGACCCGTGGACTAGGTAAGTTTTTCGACAAAATGTTAACAAGGATGGAAATCAAATAAGATTTGCATGGTAGTATAGTAATTGTGCATCTATTAATGACATTCGTTTTCTGGCTATCTTTTGCATGGGAAAATTTTTCATACTGGTTTTTTATTTCAAAGAGATGACAAAGGCAGTTGACACACGCGCACCTTCTAAGAAAATTGAAGAAATCCACGCTGATGTTAAACAGAAAGGTTATAGAAAGAATATTTAAGTGAAACTTAAGTTGGTCGTCCACGTTTGATACCCCGGGTCCAAGAAGTTTGTGTTACTCGACCGGTGGTATTAGTTTAGTTTACTTTTCGTTTGAGTTTAGGTAAATTTTTATTTTAGATAGTACTGTTTAGTGGAGCTTAGTTTACTTTAGTATAAAGTTGTTATATTTGTCTAACTTTGGTGATATATAACTAAACTAAAATCGAAGTTAAACCTATAATTAAAATAATAACCTTATTCATAAAATAAAATCTAATCTAATCTCAGCGTAAACTAATAAAACTAATAGCAGCCGCAAGACTAGGTGCTAGGAGTATCTAAGGTCGGCAGCCAACTTAACAGTTACCAAAAACTAAATAAGCCGCAAATTTAAAAAAAA